TCAGGTTTGGTCTCTGCTCGTGTTAATTTTCAATAGCCTAGTTTCAAAAGATTGTCCTGAGGGGGGGGGGGGGGTTATTTTCCTTTTATTGTGAGAAACAGCTGAGAAGATCTGGCCGGAGTTAAATGACTCAGTCTTGGCTGATCCTCCTCCTCCGTTCACAGCCAAAAAAAAAGACTGCAAACTTCAAAGAAGATTCTTGTCGACTGGGCCTCCCTGCTTTTTTCTTGCCTGAAAAAAGAGATATCTATTAGATATTAAATAGATAACGAACCGGAACTCTGGGGGCAGCTCTGTTAAGCTGCCGGCCCCTCCCCGGAAGTCCTAAGCACAATTTCTTGAAGGACTATTCACATTAAAATTAATTTGTAAGATGGTATTATAACAATAGATTATAGCTAAATGCATTCTATTTGCTTCACATTTGCTATCAATCACATATGTTCAGTTCCTTTTATTGAGTAGCATTCTTTGATATATCCAAGAATTAATTAGGCCATTTTTTTCAATTTGTACTTACACATTTATAGTTTGAAGCATATCGTGAAATGTATAAGCTACTTTAAAAAACAATAAGGGTAGAATCTTAGATATCTAGATTGTTTGTGTTTTGTTACACAAAAAACATTTCCCATTTTGTAACTGTATCTTTTATTAAAATATTTAGAGTGGTATTACAAATCACCCTTCTAAAGCATTATGTCAACCAAGTGATGCAATTTTGGATAATTGTTCTATGGGCAATGTTTTGACCATGAATTGCCTTTTGGATTAGTTGGAAACTACAGGAAATTCAGAATGGAACGATGAGATTGCTGAATAAATATAAACAGAGAGATCATATCCTGCTAATTTGAAACAAACTCTTAGTTAGTTACCAGGCAGAATTCATAAAGGTGGTTAGTTTAAACAACTTTTTCCCCGAATGCCTTCAGGGGTCCCTTCACCTGCTTAAATCTACCAAATGCTACAATTATTTTCAAAACTCTTTCCAAGATTCTTCCTGCTACTGGAGGTAAAGCTGCAGGAAGTTCTAGATTTTACTGGTGATTATTATGCTTGCTCTTCTTTTTATTTTCTTGATGTGATGACTGCTGGTTTTATCTCTATAAACTTATTTGAGAATCTTGTCAACCTCGCGCACCTGCTCCTCACACAAAACCCTCTTCCCCTCTTTCCCACCCACCCCTGTGCTGGGCCGCCAACCTAGAAAGATTAGGGACTGCTGATGTAGATTATACAGTATTGCAAAGAAATGAAAGTAGATGCATTTAAAGGCTTCGGTGCCAAATGCTGCCATAATTGAAAAAAAAAGCACATGATGTATCCATAAAGCTCATGAGAGCATTTCCTATGCTGTCTTTGCTTTTTATGACTGGTAGATCAATCTTTTTCTTTGCATTAATTGTTGGAAAGATTAAATAGAAATACGAAGTTAATCCCAGACAGAGGAAAACGTGTGTCAGCACCTCTTCATTGAGTAATTAGGAAAGAAGACCACGAGACTCCATTGATAGAAATCAAGTGTACTTTTACTAATTATAAATGATTAGAAGCGTAGCAAAGCGAAGACTGATTATTTAGGCGCAAAAGCGATTGATATATAAAATAACCCATTCCCCACCCCTTGGCATCCCAGTGGCAGTCCAATCATAATTCTCTCAAGTGTCAGGTGTGAGATAACTTCGAAAAGCATCACCGAGATGGAATGTTGGTGCCGTTGGCCTTGGCGGGAGCCTCCTTCGCATGCGCAATCCGACAGGCAGCAGAACTCCAGAATCTTCCTCCAGCACAATTAGCAAACCCCTCCCAAATACCATGCCCCCCCTCCCCGTTTCAATGGCAGCCAAAGCAGCAGCAAAGCAGAGGCTGACAAAGTGTGCTTGTAGTCAATCCTGGTTTTGATCAAACAGCTGTTTTTCTCATGTCCTCTTTGCCCTTACTTGTTTCAGACACTGAAAAGGAAAAGAAAGTAAAGCAGAGACACAGCTCCATGCCTTTGATTTTTGTTTTTTTGTTTTTGATGATCTTTATTGTTTTGACACCTCTTGCAGGTTTTTTTGCTCTGTTCTAGGATTGGCTTTTGGAATTGCTCCAGTAAAATAAAAAAACAAAAGGCACTGTATAAAATAACATCAGTGTGGTGAAATAAGACCTCACCTATATTGGTTGTCATTGACCTTCCCTACCTTACAGTGGAAATTTTGAGAATCCATTATAAAAAAAGAATTGCAACCATTGCAACTGTTAGTTTTGTGTAGGTGCTTTATACAAATTTAAATATTATGCCCTATTCTACTATGACATTGTTTTTTTTTAATGAGGCCTGGATTTGATAGTATGAATATACTTATATGACAGCTAGGAGGCTCAGGGGTGACACACTAGGATTGGGGAAGCACAACCTGAAGTCTACTGTCAGCCACCAAAATTTCCTGAATGACCTGGCCAGTCGTTCTCTTTTCGTTGAAGAGCCAGCATGGTATATTTTTGAAGACATTGGGTTAAACACCAGCAAAGTAACCCATTTTATGTGGCACCAGTTCTGATTTGTTTTTGTTTTGTTTTTGCTTTCTTCCCATAGGCTACTCGCCATGCAGAAATGGTAGCAATTGATCAGGTCTTAGATTGGTGTCAACAGCACAAGAAGCAACCTGTGGAAGTTTTTACACACACAGTATTATACGTCACAGTTGAGCCCTGCATTATGTGTGCAGCTGCACTTCGAATGATGAGTATCCTTCTCCAAATGTTGGCCACTTAATCCTTAATAAAGAATTCTGTTTCCCACCTTGGGGAACCATGGAAAAAAGGTCCTCTATGCTACTGTTCTTCAACCGGGTATTCAGAGTCATATGAACTCCAAATTTTTATTAGCAAATGTTGGTATGGATAGGATAGAAAGGAAGGTGGCATTTGGGGTCAAGTCCACACCAGGCAGGGTAAATTCTTGTGTGGTATATGAAATTTTGGGATTTTCCTACAATAGGAATAAGTTAATTTAAGCTACTTTTCTTTAAAACATTTTGTTCAACTTCTGGATGATGGGGTGTGTGAAGGACATTCAGCAATATTATTGTCCTCAATTTATAAGTGGGAGATATCTTTTGTCTGGACAGGAAAAAATGAGAAATATTTTATCGGGGGAAGTTACCACTTTTGTAATAAGGTGTCTAAAGAAAGGATGAATGTACGTCTGTATTGTAAATGAAAGGAGATTATTATTACTACATTGCTTTTTGCTTTTAATGTTGTATTTTGGGGTCATTGGGAATTGGGCAGTACTGTATACAAATATAAATAATAATGATAATTAGTTAATAATAATATAAAGTATAAACAGCAATAGAAATTCTGGAAATGGAATACCAAAAAATGAAACAATTCAATTTTGGAAAGATCTCTGGGAAACTCAAAAAGACTATAATAAAAATGCTGGATGGATAAAAGAACTTGAAGATGGATTTAGTAGAAATCAAATGGAAGAACTATTGTAATAATAACAGCACAAATGGTTAAAAATCACATAAAAAGGATTTCTATCTGTCAATCACAAAAAAACCTCACTGATCGGATATGACCATTTACCATGCCAATATGGTCCAATATCCTAAGTCCTTGGGAAGAACGTGGTGTATATGAAGGCCCAGCTAAAAACTAGCAGCTGTGATTTCATATTGTATTGATGGTAGTGGTGGTAGTGGTGGAAAGTTGGCAAATCAAAATAGCTTTACTGTCAAATCAAACATAATTGTTACTGTTTGTATATTATATACTATCTGTGTAGGATTTCTTATCTAAGCTAGTTAATGCCTTAATTGATCTGCATAAATCCCGTTGGTTGTATATGGTTGCCAAAATGAACGGTTTGGAGGCTGCGGCTCAGTTCTGAATATCTCTTCTGCTACCTTAACAGATACAGGAGAACCATTTCAAGTGAGTACTTTGTTATGGTGCCTTTCTATATGTTCATAAGAACGTGGTATGTCAAAGTGATACAGCAATGAAGACCTTGCTCTAGAAGCAAGGTTCTTGCAGAATTCCAAGAATTTTAGAAAACAGTGTGTACAAATTATTTCAGGACTTAAGCTACCCCTTTTTGAAAATTGAAATGATTAACTGGAATGCTATTCTCTAATACGGAATCTTCTGTATGTTCTCTTGCATTTTGTGGTTCAGTGGGATATTTTTCATAGTTTAATAAGAAAAATTAGACTTTGCTGATAATCAAAGTGAATTCAGTGAATGCACCTAACTGTATAATACCAGGGAAATTAAGTCCAACGATAGAAAATTGAAGGACTTTTTTTATAACAATTTACAGGTCTGCGACTAAAAAACTGTTTGATTATTTTCATCTAATTTCCATGTATTTTGGTGTGCTGAAAACAAATA